AAACAGATTTTTTTAATGCTCATCTTAACTTTACTTCCAAGACTTAAAAATGTACAAATGTGAAGTAATTTTCGCTTTATATAAATTTACATCTATCTGCACTATACAGCTGTGTCGGTTACATTTCAGTAATTGAAGTCATACTGCCATCAAACCAGTCAGTTTGTGCTACCTCTCCTCTCTGGGGACAGATGATGGTTACGAGAAGGTTAACCCCGGAAATTTCACATTCCTAATTACTTTGCGGCAGTTCGTAGTCAAACAGGCTGTGTGTGGTCGGTTTCTCGTCTAACTGATTTCGAATGATTGGTTCGTGCATTCGAGCATTCTGTTGCTTATTTGGTTGAACAAAAGCCTATTTGGTTCAGAATTCAACTTATTATTATTATTATTATCAGCATTATTAAAACACAAACTTGATATATTATGGGCACCAAGATATACACTGCTAGGACTGGGATACTTCCTGGTGGTGGTCGTCTTGAGGGATCACCCTCTCAAGCCTTTGGCTTAATGTGGAGCAGCCTCAGGAGCTACGTTCCCATTGTTTCAGGCAACCGAAACAGGATTCTGGAACCCATGTACACTATAGGCTTGGAGTTAGGGTTTCTCAGCTCCTCTGCGTAGACATATATTCACGCACTACATGTTTTATTTTGATAAGAAAAGCTAGATAGTGAATTATCTTTCTATGCACTTGTGGTATACATTAGTATGAATAATGCTACAGTTTGTAAATGTCAGAGTTTTTGTTAAGATTATGGAATTTTTGTGGAATTTGATTTATAATTTTATATTTTGTCAGAAAATAGCATCGGTTAGAGAGAACATTGAAAACCAGGAAGCACTAGACAGTTGTTTTGTTCTATGTCGGGACTCTTCATCGGTACGCACCTACAAATTCGCGATGCATCGAACCGAAGACTTTCATGTTATGAGAGTAGTTGAGTGAGAATTCAGTGACCAGGATTCGATCCCTTAAAAAAAAGGTTGTGGGGGGTGGACACCGATGAAGAGCCCCAAAGTCGGATGAAACACCTCTCCATTGCTCTCTGGTTCCTAATAATCTCTCTGAATGAACGTTAGTTTGTGACGCAAACATTTCAAATAAAGCTTTTTGTTTGTCTTTGAATGAAATATAAATTGTTTTGTTTTTACCCTCTTCAAAATACTATTTTTTTTAGTCACTGGAACGATTGGCTGCTCGTTTAAGTCGATTCTCAGTACTCAATCGTCAAATATTTTCTACTCTAAGTGTATATCTTCATCCTATTGATCGAGTAGATGAGACAAGTGTTCGTGTACGTCAATTCCCTCTGCCTACATGGTCAAAATCTTAAATGATTCTCCTTCTCTTCTTCTTTTTTGTTTTCGCTTTCCAGTTTACCATCATGCAGTTTCATAATATGTTTTTTTTTAATTTTAATTTTATCCTCCTACATATATAATATAACAAAGAATTTACAATTATACACTTATAATGTACTATACTGATTTAATTTTGACTATGCATATATATATTTATTGATATTTTTTTTCACAATTCCTATCCATTTTGTTAAATAATCATGTGATTTTAATGCTTACCGGTAATTTCTTTTTGGGTTGTTGATTTGTTGTCTTGGTTTCCCTCACCCCACCCCACCCCACCCTACCTGCTTACTTCCAAGGGAAAATCAATTATTTTCTCAACCAGTTCATCCTATTAATCCTAATGAATCACACTGATTACTTCCTATTCTTTTTTTTGTTATTGTAAAAATTGTTTTTTTTCTACCTATAACACTAATTGGTTTTGGTTTTCTTTAATCTTATACAATCACTCAGTCATCATTTATGCCAGGTTATTGTTTTTTGTATAGGTTCAATTGGATTGTATTCACAACAAACAATATACAATTGTTGGAATATGCTTTCATTACTGATACTTCAATTGCTTTAGTTCACTTGAGACTTTTTGTTAAAAAATATATATAAAATTTGTCATATTTATAATTTTCCACTGGTCCTGTATTTTCTACGTGCAATTATTATTATTATTATTATTATTATTATTATTATTATTATTATTACTATGAAGACACTTTTTTCAAGTTTTATTTCTTTTTTATTTTGTTTGTTTTTTCATGTTGATTCGTTGGACCGAAGCACTCGGCTTCTGTTGACACTATTGGCTCTTGGTACGGATGTTCTGACAATGTCTGAGGATTAACACTGATCTTATTTTGATGGATGATGATTACCGATACACTGAATAAGTAGTGGCCTAGTGGGATAAAATTTTTGCTTTCGGGTTCGAGTCTGTCTGTGGAAGTGTGTGGGCGGTTGTTACTTCCCGGCTGCCCACACCGGGGAAGTTGATTAATTCTTCGGGTGTCTGAAACAGAGAGAGGGTTAGTGTTGCGTGACCGCAGAGCCCAGGGGACAACTGCTTGAGGTCAGTCACACACGGCCTGTATGAACTGGTTTCTGGAATTGGTTCCGTATTAGTAAACCTATCACCGGTTACGGACCAGCGTAGGGTAAGTCGGGATTTACAATTTTTGGGGTCGACCTTTTCTAACCCCCTCCTTCCGGAGTGGAGAGACAACGTAGCTGGCTGGTATGCTAGTCATCTGAGGGAAACACCTCACTGCTGTTACACTTCTGTTCCCCAGTGGCAGTACGACTTCGTCCACAGACCCCCAGCTTAGTGTAAGAAAGATTCTTACACGATGCCGGTAGCTGCTTTTAGTCTAATCACTATCCTAACAACTTTCCTGACATGGTAGGACCTGCAGGAACATATGTTCCAGCCATTGTAGCTTGTTGGGTCATCGCGATGTGTAAGCCCGACCACCACGTCAAGGTAGCAGCTATCGGTCGGGAGTTTGAGTCTGAATGGGAACACCACCTTTTACTCATAGAAGATTTCAGGTCCATAGCTAGCTGACGAGTTTCGAGTAGAGGGTACGGGATGCACAATTTGATTCCTCTGGCAGTCACCACACCACCAATACATATTACATCATATGCTTCATTTACTCTAAAAAAAATGAAAGCCTGATAAAGTTAAACAATGCAGGACTTTTATTTCTACTAATGTGAATTGGTTTAAATTAAAAACTAAGGCTTTGTAGCTGATACAAACCACTACACTAACACTAACCGACTAGGAACCGATTGTGCAACAAATAAGCAGGAAGAAATTGAGATGGATTGGCCATACTCTGAGGAAACAAACGATCAAGTGACATCACTAGATAAGCCAAAGCTCGAGTGAAAACAGAAAGGGAAGCAGCGAGTTGGTCGTCAGTGCAAGGGTGACTTAGAGGAGGTGATCTGAAGAGGAGATGAAAGCATGTGGGCAGACTTGGAGCCAGGTGAAAACTCTAGCAGAGAACCGAATGCAGTAGAGACGTTTTGTGTGCGTAAGAAGTGTGTTAATTTTTGACTCATGCCACTGGGCTGATTAGCGAGACTGGTGTTTCTTCTTCCCATGTAAAGACGTAGAAAAATAGATATTTGAGTCCCGTGCCTACTAACGGTTTTCAGATTAGCTCATATTCTTCGTTTTGACGTTTCTTTTTTTATACCTTCGTGTTCCCAGTGGAACGTAGGGCTTCAAGCTAGTGGCTTGAAGTTTCTGTAGCAGTGGTAATTAGTTGTACAGGATGGGTTTGCTAGACTCATGCCCAAACTTCCCTCTTTATTAGTTTTCTTACTGACTTTGCGAAGTAAAGGAGTGCGTTGTTGGCCGGGGATTGAACCCCTGACCACAAGTGTAGTTCGCGAAGATTTTACCACTGTGCCACCGACGTTTCTGAAGAACATAAATTATAGATGTGTGGATGGTTTTCAGCCGTTGCTTTCAATCTTTTCCCCCTTTTGTGTTACAAGTGGATATTAAAGCTTTAATGTATGGAGTGTCAGTGGCGTCGGTGTTCTGTTTTTTTAAAAAAAAGTTTTTACAAGTCGCGTTACTAGTTTCATGGCCACCCTTCCACCCCCTTTACTCTGTTTACCCTTTCGATTAGGTGAGGTTTAGGAGTGTGTCGACCTGGAATCAAACTCCAGATCAAGTGCGTGGTAAGTGAGTATTCTAACACTGAACCACTGGGGGCAAACTAATGTCTCTATTACAGTCTAACAGGAAGTCAATTGTTAGTCTAGATAGATCAGTGGTGCCTGAGTTCAGTACTGGACGATGCAGCTTCGAATTTCCTAGGGGGTGGGGTGGGGGCGCTGGAAGTATCAGTCCTTTTGAGGTTTCAGTTACACATTGATGACGTGTGCTAATCAAGCTTCCTGCCAATTGCATTCAACACCACCAGAAACTCAGTACTTCACCAAAATCTTAAATAGCATTGCTTGATAGTGACTCAGAACTATTCAGGTGAATACGCGCGATGTGGTGTATCTTTTCAAAGAAGTTTACATCTTTTCAAAATTCATTATATGTTATATTTTTCCTGAAAGTAATAATAAAAGGATATTTAATTTTTATAGCATGAGTTTTTGATTTGCCTGATTTCAACCTTGGAACATTGAACACAATAAATGATGAATAAAAACAAATGATGAAGATGATAAAAAGGAGTCTCTTGAAATGTTGAAATGCTAAAGTATGTCAGATGAATAATCAGAATGTGATAGATAATTGTGCAAAGATAATTTTTAAGGTTAATGTGAAAAACAACAACAACAACAAAAGTTTCGATATGCTTGATCAGTGAATAAATAACTTCTTGTTTAGAATAATTAATCTTATAATCGAATATTTAGCTATCAATATGTTCAACAAACCATCCACCGTTTTCCTCTCGATTTAAAAAACAAAACAAACAACCAAATCTTTATAAAGAGGGAAAATACATTGATATGAATGTTGCTCAAATTAATTTCAGCGGTTTCTTCCCCACCCATTCCACTCACTGTACAGTTATCATGATGCAAAGCAAAAGCAAAAACACAGAATAAATTATCCTTTTTGAAAATTTCTCCTCTTATCTTTGTGTAATTTACTTCCCCTGTGAAGATGATGTCTCTGGTAGAATATTCATCAGTTTTTGGCTAGTCTTAGTGACGAAGTCTGTAATAAAGAGAAAAAAATGTTTGAGATTTAAGTATAAGTGAGTCAGTTGTCAGTATGAAAAAAAAATAGAATGAAGTTAAAGTATTTGACATGTTGCGTTATATTGTGAAACAATGGCTTTCAACTTGTGTGACATCCTTGTTCGATCCTTGTTTAATCTAACATTTTATGCGGCTAAATATCACCACTATGGAGTGCATCGGCCGGGAATCGAACCGCGAACCACCGAGGCACTGGTGCCACTGCCAGAGGTTCGTGTTTATCTGAATTAAGCAGATTATACCTTATTGATCAACGTATGGGCCAACTGAATCTAATTTTCAAGTATTGGTTTGTAGGGATTTGGTTGATTGGTTACAGGATTTCATCATGAGCTGACATTGGTTAGAAAACCATTGGAAAACTAGCTGGGAGTATTGGGCAGCTGTTTCGTCAGCCTAGTTTGGGGCTGTTCATCAGTACGCACCCACCGGGGTTCGAACTCAGGCCCCCTTGATTACAAGGTGAGAAGTTAGAATTTATAGGCCATTTGATCGGGTCCCAGTGGCTTAATAGTCTATGAGCTCGCCTTGTAACCAGAAGGCCCTGGGTTCGAACCCCAGCGGTGGGTGCGTACTGAGAAGAGTCCCAAACTAGGATGGAGGAAACAGCTGTCCAGTACTCCCAGTTGGTTTTTCAATGGATTTTAACATAATAGTACTTATTGATTATGAATTTTAATTATATTGAAGATTAATTTATACCTCAGGATGTAGCTATTCATGTTGGAGCTCATTTTAATTAAACATTGATTATCCACTTTGTACCTAGATAGTTACCGCTTCTAACCGAAGGTCTAAAATTATAACCACACGAGAATCCGTTAACACGAGCACCGTTATTTGCAAATGATCTAAATGATTTGTAAGTTAGGATAAGAATAAAATTAATCTGATGTTCTTATAGCTTTGCTTTTCGTTCTCTAGTATTTCATCGCCAGGTTTGGCTACCTTACTGACCTTTACTTAACGTAAAAGTAATTTTTGTGTTAATTAAGTAATACTTCGTCTGCTATTGAAGTTGTCTGGCGTAGTTACTTTTTCTTTCTCTACTTTTTTTTATTGCATTGTCTTCCATGTGGAACATATGGCTTCAAGCCTGCGATATAAAGTTTTGGTGAAAGCTGTCTGCAAGACAAGAATGTAGACAACAACTGACGTCAATGTTTACGTCCCAAATCGGTGTCATGAGAAAAAACAAGAACAAAGCCTAACATTGGTGAACTCAACAACCAATCACAGCAGACTTCGCGTGGGCGGATGCGATTCACAGCTATGTGGTCTGACCTTCAAAGAAACGGCCACAAAGAGATGACAGAATGACTTTTAGCAGGAAAACAACCAATCAGAAGACTCTGTTTCTCTGCTAACAATAACGCTAATAATAATGTACAATAAAAATCTATAAATATCTCTTGATTTCCTCAATAAATGATCTATGGCCTGGCTCTTGTCTTCTGCCGTTACAAAGTTTCAGCTGAGGCGCTGTTGTTTGTTTTTATTGGCATATGGTTGATAGCCTCATGCCCAACCTTCCCTCTTTACTCGGCGTATTACCGGCTTAGTTAGGCTTAGGAATGTGTCAGCCGGGTATAGAACCCGGACCATGTGAGTGGTTGAACCACTGATCCACAGCGTAGTGGCTTTATGTTCACAATTAAACGTCGAATCTTGGGTAACACAAAACTTCTGAAATATTTCTTCCGCTACAAAGAACAACAACATACAGAAATTGTGTTACCCAGTTGAGCAATAGTTTTTCATACATTGATAATCTTAAGACAAATATTCAGCATAATAGGTAGGTGCTTTACTCACATAGTATCTGTTCATATCTGTATGGTTTATTCTTCCATACGCATCCAAATATGTAGAATGGTATACCAGTTAATATGATAAGTATCCCAACAGCTATGAAGAGGAATAAAACAGAAATTGAATTTATAGCAGTAAAATAACTGTGTTTTGTATTCACAATTTTTCAAAAAAATCTATTAAATGAATCTTATTTTCAAAAGAGTGGATACTGAACAAAGAATAATCTTCTCGATAAACTGCTCTTCATCAGGCTCTACAGTTATTTATACATTATAGTAAATGAATGAATTAGTGTTATGAACAACATTAATGCTGTTTAAATAACACCGAATCAATAATATTAATAGATTACAGCTAAATAGCATCAACATAACAATAAACTGAATGTCAGAAAAATTAGGAAAGATAATATTACAAATTCATGAATTTCTAGTCTCTACTGAAGGCTGGCCAGGGCAGTAGTAGTGGCTGGACTTGCTTCTTTTGAACACAAAGCACTGGTTGTTTCAAGCGAACGGCGACAGCCTCTGGTGTTTAGAGTATGAGGTACTTCGATGTTTTTTCTTTTAAATAACAAATATAAGCTGGAAACCTACAAAGTTTTAGTAGTATAAATCCCTCATTCTAATGGTTTTGCAAGCGGTAGGTTTGATAAAATCTCTTTATTGTCAGAGTATTTTACTAGAATTTATCCAAAGTAACTCTGCACGTGATCGAATGACAATGGACGTGACACTCATGCAGAACTTTGCTTACCATGAGTGTTGTGTAGTCATTAGCATAGAACCAACATAAAAGAAGCAATACAATTACTTTCAGTTTCGGCCACGGATCGGCATCAGTTAGGAAACCATTGAAAATCATCAGGGAATACGGGCAGCTATCTTATTCTAGTCTGAGACTCTCTAAAGTGTCCTCCAATATCCCCACATTAAGGGGACGAACCCAGAACCTTCAGGCTATGAGGCGAATCGGTAGACCGTTCAACCCTTGGGACGGAATCCAATGGCTTATCAAGTCTAACTCCTGTGAGTTTGCGATATATAGCGCGGAGGCTGGCCAATATTATCGGCAGGTAACTGTCCTCTTACGTGACGTGGTGGACATCACCGGTCACAACTTCTTACTAGAAGTCCGGGTAACGCCCTGTATAGCATACCAGGGCGTTAGTGAACATAAGGTTAATTTTCAAGTGTCGATTTTCACGGATTTGAATGGTTACAGGTTTGATGACGAGCTGACATCAATTAGAGAACGGTTGGAAAGCCAGAAGGTACTGGATAGATGATTTGTGTTTAATATTTCATAAATGTATTTAGAATCACTTCTAACCACTTTAGCTTGATTAATAAAACATTGAAAATCTTTTCAATAAAACTGATTTCTCCCAGATGGTTAGGTGGCAGGACACTACTGAGTGTTCCAATAACCATAATCAGTTTGGTTAGCATATAAATGCTAACTAATGCTATTTCCCGAATTGAGTTTGCCAGACATTTATTTATTTTAAGGATTTTGGTCAAACATTTGTTTTTTTTGTTATTATTTTTTCATATGCTATAAGTCTGTGCACCGCGCCTGAAATGCCACAGGGAGCAGAAACCTACATACGTTTAAAGATGCGAAGATTTAAGTCTTTTTGTCTGTTAAAACATGTTCATTCACTGAAAGCATCCATATTTATGCGGTTAAACAAATTCCGATTTCGTTTTTGAGCTTAAATCAGGAAGAAACACAGACTTCATAAAATGTAGTTGTTTTGTATTTTGAAAAATTTAGTCTGAAACTGGTTTGCATAACATGTAGATTGCATTAAATCTTTGAAATAATTAGATGTTTTAGAAAGCTCTATAGGTATTACGTATATGTAATTGAGTCTTAGGGAACGGCTATTTTGAACAGAGAATAACTTGGCAATACTTCACCAGGTGTTTACCTTCCAGATGAATTGCAGTAGACAAATAAACAGTTTTAAGCAGTGTCCTTATTGACAGACTCATAATGCGGTGAGAGCTGTCTGCTAGACAAAATTGGTAGACAGCAATTTACATCAATGTGTACGTCCTAAACCTTAGTCATGAGAAAAAAAACAAGAACAAAGACTAACTCAACAACCAATCACAGCAGACTTTGCGTGGGCGAGTGCGAATCTCAAGCTATATGGTCTGACCTTCAAAGAAACGGCCACAAAGAGATGACAGAATAACTTTCAGCAGGAAAACAACCAATCAGAAGACTCTGTTTCTCTGCTACTAATAACGAATGTATCAATGTACATAGAAATCTATATATATATCTTGATTTTCTCAATAAATAATCTGTGTCATGGCCCTTGTCTTCTGTCGTTACAATAGTGCATTAGGATTTTGCACTACTGAATTCAAACGATTATTTCACTCAACTCAATTACCTGGGGAATTCAATTAATTCGTTGAAAACGCTCAGCTTCACATAAAGGTTTTAGAACACAATAAGTTATTTAATAATTTGTAGATTAAATTATAAGAAGTATATTTCAAACATTTAGCACAAAGACCCCCTGCCCAATGATTAGAAATTGATTGATCGTGTGAGAGACATACACCTACACTTTCATACACAGTGCGTCGGTGGCACAGTGGTTAGGACTCTCGCCGACCATGCACATGGTCCGGGGTTCGAGCCCACGCCGACGCACACCTGATATCTATGGTCGGCCTGCGAATTTTGGGCTACCGATATCCACGCTGAAAATTCCACACTTGTACCAAAAATACGGTGTGGAATCAAGCTGTAATCAAAAATAAAAAATAAAATAAATAAAAGTTGTTGGAATTAATTTTTAAAAACCCTAGCTGTAATTCATATTTAGCGGTCATTCACCTATACAGCGTTCCTAATGGACATTGTTTTCATTCATTCAAATTTGATTTTAAAGTTTTTGCATGGAGGATTTAATCATGAGCTGACATCAGTTAGAGAACCACTGGAAAACCTGGGAGTACCGGACAACTGTTTCGTCCTAGTTTGGGACTCTTCAGAAGTACGCACCCACCGGGATTCGAACCCAGGACCTTCTGGTTACAAGGCGAGCTCGTAGACCAATGGGCCACTGGGACCCGATCCAATCGTTCTTGAATTCTAACTTCTGCCAATTCACGACATAGCGCGACCACTTCGCAATGTCTTCTTCGATGAGTTACTGCTTCATCTTCAACCTGCTTTTGTTTTTATTTTTGTTTTATTTTAATTTTCTGGTAATTGTGTTAAGTAACCCATTTTTCATTTATATTTAATGTCACATAAACTGGAAGACTTGTAGGCGAAAACCTACAAACTGGCTGAAGAAGCAGCGAAGACAGGAGTTCAGGTGAACAGACAGAAGAAAGAGATGGTGAAAATTACCAACCAGCAGCGACAACAACAACAACCAGCACCAATCACCATCAACGGAAGAAGCTTGAAAGAAGTCACTTACTTCACTTATCTGGCTGGGAAGCAGTCTTTCAGCTACAGGCCGGTTGGAACGGATGAAGATGTCAAAGCTGGCCAGAACCGGAAAGGCAAGATGCCTTTTCATCAACCTGCACTCAGTCAGCATCAAGAACAATATTTGGATTTTCAACACAGATCCTGGCGTCTTGAGGATCATTTTGAACAGGTCAGTGAAGACTTTCATTAACAGTTGCCCTCTCTGACTGAGTATTAAAGATCAAATGGCTGGTCAGATTGAATCAATGACAAGAAACGCTGGCTGAGAACAAATCAATCAAGATCCAATCGGTTAAAAAATATGAAGAAAAAAGTGGAGCTAGATAGGGTACACACTGAAGTGACCGTTGAATGACATCACGCGCCGAGCCCTCGAGTGGAACCCGAATAAGAAGCGGCGAGTAAGTCTTCAGTGCGATGGTGACATGGAGGAAATCGTGTGGGAGAAAAGGAGATGAGAGATCATGGGTAATTGTGGACCTAGATAAAGAGTTCAGCAGAAAATATAAGAAAGTGGAGATGTGTTGTTGAAGTCTTATGTTCCACTCTGAACCAAAGGGAATAATATCAAAAACAAATTTTTCAGTTTCACTATAGATTTCAACACGAAAGAACATAAGTTAGAGATCGGCGAAGACCGGTAAGCAGAGAACAGCTTTTCCAAGATATAGTGCTGTCGTCAACCATTTCTGACAAACGTTAGTTCGCGAAAAAAGTCCACACTGAAATTAATCCTAATCCCTGTGATAACCCATAATCAAAATATTTCAGTTAATGTGTGAAGGAATTTATTGGTTGGAGGATTTCATCCTGACCTGACACCCCTTTGAAGAACCATTGGAAGACCAGCACTACAGCACTGTACAGCTGCTCGTCCTAGATTTGGAGACTTCAATGGTACGCACTCACTGGGGTTTGAACCAAATGGCTTAATGGTCTACGTGCTCGCCTAGTAACCAGAGTGTCCTGGCTTCGAACCTTGGTGCGTACCTACTGCTGAAGTCTCCAAAACTAGGACGAAACAGCTCTCCGGTACTGGTTTTGCAATGGTTCTGTAACTGATATCAGCATATAATGAAATCCTCCAACCAATCAAGCAAAATCCCTATAAACCAATACTTGATAATGAATAACTGTTTAATCACTTCATTAATAATTTCCCGATAATTTCTGTATTTTAAATGAGCTACTTATACAGAAATCAGTAACTTAAATCTGAAGTCAAAATTTTGATAACTATATCTCTAGTCACTACCGCCTCGGATTCCATACTCATGGATTCATAATTAATACCGTACAATAGTCAGTTAAGCTAAAATCGTAGTCAGAACAGTAACAGTATTACGGTTAAATTAAAAGTTGAAATGGTAAGGAATTATTTATTGTCCATCCAGAAAGACGACGAAAGCTCCGCAACTAAACCAACCATCTCAGAGAACACTATTAATTGCAAAAGTTATTGTTCATTCCAAATAGAACTGAGATGACATGAATAACTGTTGCTTCAAGTTTGATCACGAATTGAGTTCATTCAGAGAACCGTTGAATACCCGGTAGTACTGAACAGATTTATCATTCCAGCTTAGAAGTCCTCAATAGTACGCATGCGCGACCTCCCAAAG